GAAGAAAGTGTTGCAAAAGAGTTATTGAATTGTTACAAAAATAGTGACAAAAGTGTCACATATTTTGTCACGTTTTTTAAAATATTTTTTTTCTTGTAAAAAAACAACTATTTATTATCGATAAATGTTTCTTGCAAATTTTACATAAAAATTTTATAAATTGCAAAAAAGTTGCATACTAGCAACGAAAATTTGTAACAAGCCTTTTTGTTGTGATTTTGCAATGAATTTATCATAAAATTGTGATATTTATTCATAGTTGTAAATATATTGCAAATTTTTAACAAAAACTAATGTTGCAAAAATTATGTTGCAATAGCCTCTTTTTCTTGTAGTGAGAGTAGCAGTATATATATTTATTTTTTTCAACAATACGTTAGTGTGTTATTCTTCCAAAAATAATTCACGAAAGCTAACCCAAAATATCACTAATCATTCACCCAGTTGATAATATACTAAATATTAACAAAAACAAACAAAATGTTGTTAACAAACCACATATTTTAGTTTCGCTTGAGGCCTTGTTTGGACCGGCCTGCTTACACGAATGCGTTAATTAACGTCGCATTCTTCCAAAAACATAATTCACCAAAGCTAACCCAAAAACAGCATTAATCATCCACTCACTTTAAATAAACTCAGAATTTTCACAAATAAAATTACTTCTTTCAAAATGTATTTTTTAAAATAAAATTGCTACTCATGCCCATGGCCACATTACATTAAAATTCCTTGTAGAATCCAATCAAATAAGCACGCGTTTACATGTGTGCATGTAAGCAGATAAGAGGATTGAATGTAGACGCAGTTTATAAAAAAAATCAAGGATATAAAGATGTGACATAAGATGTTATGTGAGCTTGACAGTTATATGAATGTTATTCAAATAATTACGTGAAAAAACACTAAGCTTGACTTAGGTTAAATCATTAATTAATTAAATGGAATTTGACATTCTTCGTTTATTTTAAGATATAGCTGACAAATTCTTCGTAAGGTTTTATGTGAGGGAGGTCTTAGGTGGGGATGTTCCCTTTTGCTGATCTCTAGTTGACTTCCAGAGTTAATCACATCACATTATACTGATTAATACGTTTTTAACCCAATGTAAATAATTTATGTCTTGAGAGATCCATTTAGAAGACGGAAAGACATCATGGATGATGACTTTCGTCTATTAATGTATAATTGTATTATGTCATAGACACTGTCCATAAAACTCACAATCCTTTTTTGGTTTAATAAACTCACATTCCGTAGTATTCTAGGTACTTCACTAATTACGGGATTTAAGATCTATGAAAATGTATAGAGGACGATCTAAAACACTTATTAATATCAGATAAACTAGATTCAAACATTGCCTTGATATTCTCTGATGAATATTTTCACCAGTTAGTGTCTATTCGATTTTTAAGTCACTAAGAGAATGCAATGTAAAAACACTTCAACGGAGAAGAAGACTCTGCATCCATTGAAGTGCCTTTACAATGTTATACAAATCATGATGTAAACTCTAGAGCTAATTATCCTACGTCAATTACATATTTGTTTTGTTATCAATATTTTAATATTATAAGAATTATACACCGCTTGGCTCAAGATGAGTTTTCTCCAAGATTTAACTCCATGTACAGTATAACTTGGCCATTTCTGGGAACTTTCAGAATCTAGCTAATACTATAAAAATATCGATTCAAGTCTCACATCAAAATATTAAAAACAAGCAATCAATTCAAATCTCACATTTATATATTGAAAACAATGATTGTCTTGCATAAATTAGTATGAGATTTTGAGAAATGAGTTCGAAAACACATCCATAAATGATAATATTGATGATAACATGATACTCTCCCAAATCCCAAATGATATTAAAAAAATTTACTATACGTGACACTGACACGTATGTATTGTTTTCTTTTGTTTTGTGAATGTATATGTCACAACTCACTAGTATTTTATACGGTAGAGGATAGGGTGTCTTCTTCAATCCATCCCTCTATAAGACATATATATGAAACAAACATATACTTCAAAGAATTTAAAGTGTCAACCAAAGAGCAATTAAAAAAAAATTGAAGTTGGATTCTTCATATACATTGATGAATCAAGAAGATCATATCATGAATATAGGAGAAGGATCAATGTCTTGCTTCTCCGGAACAAAATCATCGGAAGACGACGACGACGTTTCACTCTCTCTTCTATTCAGTCTCTCTACCATACAAGACAAAGTCCATCAGATCCAATCTCTGGTCAGCTTCTTCATGATCTCTAACAATAACCAAACTTCCGGGTCAACGTCTTTGGCCGTGGCTAACATTGGAAGTTTGGTTCAAGATATTATCACGGCTTCTTCTTCAATGATGTTCACTTGCCAACAACTCAACATCTCATCTGATATCGATAACAATCAAACCGCAGATGCAATGGTCATGGAGTTTTCCCGAGAAGAAACCGACCCGGATCATGATTTCTTGCGAGAGTCATCAACCAATCATCTTGGTGTCCAAGAAACAGAACAGATCTCGTTTCCCAACCAGAACCTTGGCTGGTACGGCACCCAAATCCTAAACCCTAAAAAAGAACATCATCGTTCTAAACCAAGATCCGGGAACTACGAGCTAGTGGAGCTAGAGGTAGCGGATCTCCTAGCGAAATACACGCATCACTGCCATATTTGCGGTAAAGGGTTTAAGAGAGACGCGAATCTAAGGATGCACATGAGAGCGCACGGAGACGAATACAAGACACGTGAGGCCTTGATCAGCCCAACGAGCCAGGAAAAGAAAGTCGAATACTCGTCGAAGAAACACTACTACTCGTGCCCTCAACAAGGGTGTAAATGGAACCAGAGGCACGAGAAGTTTCAACCGCTGAAATCAGTGATTTGCGCCAAGAATCATTACAAGAGAAGTCATTGTCCTAAAATGTATATGTGTAGGAGATGCAGTGTGAAGCATTTCTCGGTTCTGTCTGATCTTAGGACGCACGAGAAGCATTGTGGAGATATCAAGTGGGTTTGCTCTTGTGGGACTAAGTTCTCAAGGAAAGACAAACTTATGAGTCACGTTTCTTTGTTCTTGGGCCACTCACCGGCCCATGGACCTTCGCAGCGGCAGCTTCCGGTGTAACAACCCTAAGACGTATCTCAAATGAGTAATGACCTGTGCATTCAACTCTTTTTCTTTTTCTTAACTAATGTAACCAAGATAAAGACCACATTATCGGAAAAAGAAAAAGAAAAAGGATGATATACCAAGACTTGTGCATTAATGTCGTAAATGATTTTGGTTATGAGCTAAATGTTTTGTTTGTGTACTTTTATAAACCCCAAAAAGTTGTGGATATCTATGGAACTACCTAAATACTAGTATAGTTATTATCTTTAATGGAGTTTACAAATTTTTTAATTAAACAAACACAAAAAATTGGTTAAAATTTTGCATTAGTTTTTTTAGTTTCCATGATTCTATGTTTTTCGATATATGAGACATTAATCTAAATTCATGTAAAGTTTATAAGTTCATATGTTTTTTTTTTTGTATGTTTTTGAAAGTAAA